GCGCACTGCCGGACCGCAATCGCATGCAGTGTGAACGCTCTGATCCGTTAACATGGGCGCGGAAAAAATACGCACACCACAGACGGAGTGTGTGAACCTGGCATTACGTTTGTATGCCCGCCCGGTCTGTTCTGTTCTCGTGCTCCATTTAAGTGCGCTGCATTCTGATTGGTTCGGATGGCATACTGCGGGAGGTCGGGGGCGCGGAAAATCATGCTATAAAGCGATTTAGAAATCGCGCAAGCTCAAATCGCGATTTTATGACGATTTTGATTAATCACACAGCCCTACATGCAATGTGTGCGTGTATTAGAAAACATAACGTTCTGCAGTTTATTTACTAACTGTTTTAAGGCCATTTCGCGATTTCAGTCATAATACAGTAACCAGTAACAATCACCCTGCATCTTTCTCAGACAGTTTTAAATGCTCCCACACTGCTGACATGTGTGCTGCGTTATAAAGAGTGCACACCTCTCACTCTGCGCTGGTTACTATTTGATCGCGTCACGTCATTGTTCGGTACAATTTATTCGGTCTTTTTGCTTATTCATACCGAAAGAGCTTTTTTTGCTATTTTCGGCTGAATAATTTCAGTTGCCAAACATTCGGTGCATCCCTAATACATATAGTGAAAGTAGTCAGTATGTTTGTTCAGAAGTTTTGTAAGAATCAAGGCAAGCTCTTACTGCTTTAAAGTAAAGAAAAATATTTTCCTTAGATTTAAAGTGGATACAATGCTGAACATGTTAAAATGATTTATTAATAAACATTTCTATACAAATTTTGCTAAATGTAATTACAATTTATGATTATTTTTAAATTAAATAAGAACAAGTAATAAATAAAGAAAACAATTTAGTATACTAGTATACTAGTATATATTATTTTTAAATCACTAAAGTTAGCATACATGTATATAATAATGACATGCTATATAAACGGTAAATTTAGATATTATAGGGCAATAATTGTGGTACACAGTGCAATAATTGGCAGTATGATAGCAGCACTGGTGAATGTAGTCTAGAATTTTTATAAACAGATTTAAAAATATTTTTATCCACTATTTCTAAAGAAATTTGAATAATTGCAAGTTAGTGTGACAGAGTTTAGTGTACCTGTAGGCTCTTTTAATGTCCTCTGCTGTGGCCCCTTTCTCCAGTCCCAGCACCTTGTATAAACTGTCCCCTGTAGTGGACATCTTCCTCTGAGGCCTGTCAGAGGGCGGCTTGGCGTCTGCCATGATTCAATGCTGGAGAACAGGAAAAAAAGAGACAGAATTATGCATTTGCATATTTAAACGAAAAAGTGTCCAATGGGAGCTGCTCTTCAAAGAACTCAGCATCACATTATTGACATATAAGACAATGTACACAGCCAAAGCAAGCAGAAAGCACTCAGCTCTAGTTTAACAACACACTGTGCGAACACAAGGTGTGGCGAAGGTGAATCCTGTGTTAATGTTGGGGGGAAAAAAAACGTGCAGTTTTCATATGCTTATCCACCAGGAAATGACAAACACTACGAAGAAAACTTTAATTAGATGAGATATTTCCTCTCATAATAACAGGATGCAATGGTGTGCAAAGCATTGGCTTCCCCATTCTCAATGTCTTTGCTTAAGATGATTATGTTTTGCTGATCTCACAGATGACAACTCCATGTTGACAAAGGCTATTAGGCGCTTGTACACACATGGCACCTTCCCTGATCATGAAAGCCTATTTTAAGCGATTTAAAAAACTAAAGAGTGGATCTTTTTGAGACATACCTGTTGAACCACATCATCACCACCACTATTGTGTAATTAATAATTCTCAAGTTTAAACTAGCACACATTCCTTAACCTTTGACATTTGAAATGTTAGGAAAGATTTCTACCTCAAATAAATGCTGTTCTTTTAGCTTTCTACTCCTCAAAGAATCCTGAAAAAAAAAATGTTTTACGGTTTCCACAAAGACATTAAGCAGCACAACCGTTTTCAACATTGATAATAATAACCAATGTTTTTGAGAAGGATCATGTGACGCTAAAGCCTGCTGAAATTTCAGCTTTGCTATTACAGATATAATTAATTCTATAGACAGTCTTACAAATGTTTATTTAGGAAATAATTGGATTTTACAAAAAAAACCTACTGCTGCACTATTTTATCTTTCCCTGTTCCAAACTACTAAGCCAAAGTGACTTTTGAAGCTTGAAATAATTAAATTCATTCATTCGAGAAAAGGTTGGAGGCAGTTAGCAGATGACCACACTGCCAGAGGTGTCACAGGCTGTTAAAACAATCATAAGATAGATTGACATTTTCATTAAAGAACGCAGTACACTAGAAATCACCCGTATCAGACCGCAGCTGTGCGAGTTTCAGATGAACCTCTGTTCATCAAGCTGTAAGCTTATCCCAGGCTTAACTCTACAGTCAATGTATTTCAGATGAATCTAGCGGCTGTGTCATGTCTAATGAGAAAGCACACTAATCACACAGGTCACTTTCTTCCAGATGATGACAACTGGCTCAAAGCTCCTAAATGAAGCAGTGTCACATGATGAAGCTGATACAACTTTATATGCCAATGCAAACCTCATGCAGCTTACATCAACACTCAGTTTACTGGGAAGCACAAAATTGTAAAAACAAGCTCTTCACAAGCCAAGTTAGCTAATATAATAACATGATTTTCATAATTCTACCAGATGTTTGAAGATGGCTTTGAGGTCCTAAGAAAAAGCCGAATACTCTCATTCGGCAGTAAAAATAATGCATAATGTTACAAAAAATGTATTGTGGTTTCCACAAAAATATGTTTAACATAACACCAAATCAGCATACTAAAATGATTCCTGAAGGATCATGTGACATTGAAGACTGAATTAATGTCTGATGAAAATTCAGCTTTTCCTCAACTTTTTTCCTCAACATAAATTGTCAAATGCCTGGGAATTAAAGCATTTAAAACACTTTAAATGTTTTCATTTTAACATTACTTTAGCACCATTGTGGGTTAAAAAAATATTTAAAAGGACTAGTGCGTGATTTAATCAAAACATAATAAATACTGATTTAAATTTCATTTGCACTTGATTCTTCGTAGAGTGGCTTCTGATAAATGGTCGATTGGTCAAACTCAAACAGCACTAGCAGTAAATCATTACCGCCCTTCTCAAAGACCAGGTAAGTATGTGTCTTGTCCAATCTTGATTGACAAACAGGTTATTAATAATGACATGCATCAAAAACTATAATACTGCTCAAAACAGCTTTTCAAAAAGACGTAGAAAACAGTAGTTATTAGAAATAGTCACATCCTTTGCTCAACTTCATTGGCTTTCACAACAGTTCCACGGAAATAGTTTCTATCCACTTGTCAACAAATACATACAGTTAAAGAAAAATGCGTTAACTCCTACTCGTTGCCTCCAATCACATCTGGCTTGCGTCTTGTGTCCACTGATAATGTTTATTTTGATCCTGTCGTGGATATGCATCTGAGGTATTATCATAGTCATCATATTTACACTACTTGTTGGCTGTTGTAACAGGCGTGTGTCCTTGCAAAACTATAATCCAGTCTTAATCCAGTACAGATTACTATCCCCTTCAGACCTTGTATTTTCCTTCAATCTCACAGTTTAACCATGAGCTGTTTGGTTTGACCTGGACAAGAGCAACTACAAACAATCTCTAAAGCTCAGTTAACACAGGTAATCATGGAGTTTATTCATCTTTATTATTGGTAAATCTGGACAGATCTGAGAGGAAAGCACGAGACTCGACTGGCCAATTCACATCTAACGTTAACGTAGTGACAACAAAACCACGGAATATATAACCTTCAGCGGATTTACATTCATTAAATACCTATTATGAAATCCACACACGATGTTGACTGGTTTATGAGTTCGTTATGAATTTGCATTTACTTTTATCGATAAAACAAACGGCTGACTAGGCAGTTAGCATTAGCACGCCTAACTAGCCACGATAACAGATTTCTGTTGAATTTGAGCCGCAAATTTAAACACAGTCGATTTAAACTCACCTTGAACTGGGTGGTAATATGATATAATCAATTGTGGCTGAATCATAGAGGACTCAGCCGAATGGTTCTTTAGATATCCTATGTACAGCTCCTCATTGCTATCGCCGCATGTCCTCCCTTGAAAGCGTAGAGCGCTCCGAGGACGCGCTTGATTATTTGAGTCGACTCTTTGAACTGAATCACCAACATGTTCGACTCCCTTGAAAGAGGGTGCGTAGGGGCACGATTGATTCAATAGAATCGAAGCTTTAGCGGAGTCGACTCTCATTTAGTGGATTATGACCGTAGAATGCCATTGGGCGTAATCGATGCTTTGACTTTGATCTACGCAAATGACTCCGGACCAATTCTATCATGAATGGTTAACGTTAGCAAGTAACTTCTATACGGTTTGACATTAGTCAAGGCAAGAATACACATTAAACGCACCGCACATAAGCAGCAAGAGTTGAATTTATGATTTACAATTATACTACGTAAAATCATGTAAAAAAAATTTTTTTTTAAATCAGGTTTTATGTAGTTTCAGTTTTTCAAAATAAAAGTCTAATACACTGAGTTTAGTAATTGCGTTATTGAGAAGTGGGTCTCGGTTTATTTTCACAACTCAAAAATAGTAGCAATAATAATAAAATAAAATGATACAAATAATTATTGTACTATAATTTACGCTTATTTAAAATTTTGTAATGAGATATTTCTTTTGATTTTGGGGATAATAATGTAAATCGTTTCGATTTTACTTTTAGGCAAGTTGTTAACTGCAAGCATACAATATCCTGCTAGTTCCTAAAAGCAACACATACCCATTTTCTTCCCAATATGACAGACGGCATTTGTGTACTTGCACTAATTTTTCTTATGCAATTTAACTAGTACAGGACAACGTCACCAAAAAATTAATAATGTAGAATACATTGAGTAAAAGAGTTCATTTATTCCATTTTACCGCCTACCAACAGATCAGGTGATTTACTGATATTCTCTCCCTTCGTTTGTGCCAGTACACAGAAAGACAGAGATATGGAAAAGCAGAGAAAGATCCGAGATTGCATTTCTTTTATTGTCTAAAAATACAATTACAAAAGTTTTACTCCGTAATGAACAATCTTATCATACTGTATCTGCACTAGTATTTGCACAAAGTAGATTGAGTTACAAAAGTCTGGTCCCCTACTGGAATGTCCAAATGAACATGATTACATGTAAAGATGTCTATATTGCTGTAAACGCACAAAAAACTAAAACACATACAGCTTTTACATTAATACAATACCAGTTAGTGATGTAGTAGTACAATTGTTTATTGTATAACTGTTTGCTAAATTTAGCTGATTTTGAAATGAAATGAAGAAACTGAGCAACCCGCTACTTTCAAGTGCAACATTAATGTAACTATCTCAGATATTTAGGATGAAACTAGTTTAACCACACCGCACTGTGTTTGCTATAATGGGCTTGTTTTAAATCAAATACTCAACATATGGAATTTTATTGCAGTCAGTACTGAAAGGAACAATAAATCTGAGTACTTTATCTCACAAAATCTCACCTACTGGAACTATATGGAGAGTACACAGAATGAACACCAGTCACGGAATCAGTATGTTGCTAACAAAATATTTCCCTTTACTGCCAAATGTCCAAGAATAGACTATGATGGTCCCTTCATCGACCCAGCACGGTAGCCAGCAGTGCCATCCGAATATACATCCCATTCTCAGCCTGCCGGAAGTAAGCAGCCCGAGGATCCGTGTCCACTTCCACACTAAAAACAAAATACGATTAGGAAAGACTGCAAGCAAAACTCTGTATTTAACACTCCAGTTCATGTAACTTCCTACTTTGCCCGCTTAAAATTTGATTTCATCCTGATGCATTGAATTAAGAATAGCAAACCTGATCTCATTGACTCTGGGAAGCGGATGCATAACAACCATCTTCCTTTTGGCTCCAGTCATGATATGTGGGGTGAGGATGAACTGGCCAAAACACTGTCAGGAGGAGCAAATCATTAATAATATGCTGATATTTAAGACATAAAAGCAGATGCAATGATCTTCTCGGCAAAATCTCTCACCGCTTCGTACTCTTCTTCAGAGGCGAATCGCTCCTTCTGTATTCTGGTCATGTACAGGACGTCAGTCTCTGGAAGGGCCTCTTCAATGCTGTTAAACTCCTCCTGTGGATATAGTTAGAGAAGTTCAGACATTTAAGACAAAAAATAAAAAATAAATAAAAAATGCAATGCAAATAAACGAAAAGCACCCAAGTATGGTCTATATAAACACCTGTTTAATGCCTTTGGAGGCCACAAAATCGATGATTTCGGCAGGCATGCTGAGGTCCTTGGGGGCCACGTAACGCAAGGTGATCCTGTACTGAGTGAGCAGTCTAGCCAGAGAATGCACGGTGCGGCCATGTTTCAGATCACCTACCATGGTAATCTGAGATTTAAGAAAAAAAAAGATCCAAAAATTACACAAGACAGTAATCATAACTGAGCATCTCAACCGGAGCAACACTGCAACATTCTGTTTGGAGATGCTAGTGGCACAGAAATTACACACTTCAGCTCCAAGTGGAAATGTCAACAAGCTAGTAGTTTAAGATGACAATATTTTCCCCTGTGCACTCACAGTCATGCCATTGACTGTTCCCAGCTCCTCTCGGATTGTAAAGATATCCAGAAGGGCCTGAGTTGGATGTTCTCCAACCCCATCACCAGCGTTGATCATTGGCCGCCGACAATGCCTTGCTGCACTCTACAAACCAGAAGCATTTTCTTGTTTAGACTGACGCACAGATCAATTTGTTTTAGCAAACACTAACATACATAAATTAATTTTATTGATGGGGGAAAAAAACCCTAACAACATGCATAACATACACTGAATTTCACACAGAAAGGCATGGAATATTTATAAAGAGGTCAATTTTGATGTCATGTTGTCAACTCTTCAAAAGGGTTTTTTTGGGAAAAATTTATACTTTTTTTTCCATCAAGGATACATTCAATTGATCAAAAGTGACAAATATGTACAAAAGATTTCCATTACAAATAAACAGCATTTTGACATTGAAAACTGGAGTAATGACTGCTGAAAATTCTGCTATTAATGCATTAATATTTGACTCACTTCTACAGCTCCAGGTATGGGGTGGCGCAGAACAATGACATCAGTGTAGCAGCTCATGGTGTGAACAGAATCAGCCAGAGACTCGCCCTTCTGCGTGGAGGAGGTGGACTCACTGAAATGTACCACTGACCCTCCCAGACGGTGCATGGCTGCTGCGAACGAACTGCAGGTGCGAGTGCTCACCTCGTAGAACATGGAGGCCATGACTTTACCCTGGGAGAAGATGAGCAGAATGGAATTAAATCAAGAGTTTAAAACAACTTATTTCATCGGTTTAAGACATCTCCTTCAGCAAGAGGTTGTTTCCAAAGGCCACAGATGCCCATTGAAGCAGAGATCTACTTCAAACTGATACGTCACTGCCAGATTGAACAACACCCTGTCTCCAGACTGCTGCTGACTTGAGCAGTTAAATACTCTTGCTGAGGAGGTTTATGCAATGAATGCTCAAGATGGGCTGTAATAAACTATAAATCATCCAGTGATATCTACTCTACTATTGGACAGAATGAATCAGAGTAATCAAAAGGTATTGTGGTCTACAGGTTGAATCAAGGTTCAATTTGCTCATTCCACACTTTCAAACAAGAATTCTGGATCCTTAATTCCATTGCCAAGTCCATTCCATTAGTAGGAGACTCACCATCTACCTTCAGGCAACTTGCCCTCGCTTTCTCTCCCTCTCGTATATTAAATATACACACTACTGTTCAAAAGTTTGGAGTCTGTAAGATCTTATTAATGCTCACTAAAGCTGCATATATTATATCGAAATACAGTAAAAACTAATATTATGAAATAATAGAATTTCAAATAAATTTAATATTTTACAATTTAACTTTTTCCTGTGACGCAAAGCTGTAACCTGTCAGCCATGATTTGCTGTTTAAAAGCAGTCAATATTCTTCAATGCGGTTTTGTTTAAATATTTTTGTGGAATAAGTGTTATACTTTTAGGAATCACTGATGACTATAAAGCTCAAAAGAGCAGCATTTATTTGATATCTATCTATACATCCATTTATCTACAGTATCCATCCATCCAGGCACGTGCACACATAGACATCAAAGGGGGCTTGAGCACCTGCCCTTTTTCTTCCTTGAGAGAAAGTGCCCTTTTTTCTGGGGAGTTTTTTTTTTTTTTTTAATAAATGAATATATGTATATACAGTGGGGCAAAAAAGTATCTCTCATCTTTTTAAGTGGGAGAACTTGCACAATTGGTGGCTGACTAAATACTTTTTTGCCCCACTGTATGTGCATGTGCGTGTTTCGGTTTGCGCACAGCTTTCCCTGTCAAACAAATTTAAAAAATCTAAATATCAGGTCAGGAAATGTTAAGACTCACGTCTCTGCAGCGCAGCAGTGTTGCACACATTGATCAGCTGCACATCACTGACAGGCAGAGAGCCACAGAAGTGAAGCCCTCTCTCCCTTTCCAGTTGTGTTAGTCTTGGTGTGGAGGTGAGTGGTGATGAACAACAGAGTAAGCTATCGGTGCCTCGAATTTACAGCTAATTATCCAAAAAACAAAAGGCAATTATAGTTAATTTGTCTTGCTAACATCCATGACTCATGAGAGAGTTACCATGTGGGTTAGACCAGTGCACGTTCTTTCACTGCATGATTCAGTTTATTAAAATGCATTTAGAATGATCACAAAATTCAAGATATGGGGGAGGAAATGTTAATATTTATATAATTTCAGATGTCTTTTTTTTTACATGATTACAAATGTGATATTGATTTTATACAGCAGTTCAATAAACAAGAATTTAACATTAAGACACGTTTTAGACACAATATTGACTGTTTTTGCTCTATTTCACCAATAAATAATTCCAATTTGCATCTCTGAGCAACATGCTGTTTTGTTCCTGAATGAATCAACCGTTTAAATGATTCGGTTCAATGGCAACAACTCGCTTATTAACAGTGACTTGCTGCCACCTACTGGCGGTTTTAATTTCATATCTTTTCATTTTTTTTTTTTTTAAGTAATTACAAATATCAGTATCCAACGTTTTATGTTTAAAATATCAAAACGGTATTAATGCATTTGTAACTGCAGGTTAAACGTTCATGTCCTGCATTAAACAGTGTAAATGCATCTAAATGCCCCTTTCTAATGCAGCTTCTGTTTTCTCTGCATTGCAGATTAAATTTGTCAATACTGATTTCATTTGCTTGGTAACAGCCCAAATGACTTATTATTCTAATTGACTGATTCAATTGAAGATTTTGACTGAAATGATGCACATTTTTAGAAAAAATGGCTTTATAAAAGGTAAAACTGCCATTAAAGGAGTCATATGATGCGATTTCAAGTTTTCCTTTCTCTTTGGAGTGTTACAAGCTCTTGGTGCATAAAGAAGATCTGTAAAGTTGCAAAGACTCAAATCCAAAGAGATATTCTTTATAAAAGTTAAGAGTCAACCACGCCTACCTAAAACGTCTCGTTCTAACACGCCCCCACATATCTATGTCACTATGTGGAAATATTAGCATAATGCAGCCCAAATGTTCATGCAAAGAAAGAAGGCGTGGTTTCAGGAACAGCAGTAGTGTTGATGCAGCCATGTCAGGGAGACGCTGTGTTTCAGTGTGAAAGCAAAAGCACTTTATTTGGCCTTCCGGAAGTAGATGCAATTAGGAATCATTGGTTAAGATTTATTTACAACAGAACAGCACAACCCAGATGTTCGAACTTGTGCAACGCATTTTATGGACAACGTACAAGGCTGGCTGTGCACAAAGTCTATTTCTAAAAAAAAACAAAAGGGGGGGGGTTATTAGTTTAAGTATTTGCTATTGACTGTTCAAATGCAGAGTTTTGCGCAGCGTAGAGTAACGCATCATGTGTGTGTGTGAGGGGAACAGGGGTCACATCACAGATGAGTGAACTGCCTGTCAGAAATCATAGCACGTCAGCTGTCTTAACAGCGGCTTGTGTACTGCATCATCACTGTGTCTGTCACCCGACTGTTGCCCTTTCGGGCTTGAACTGATGGTAAAACTAACGACATTATTAACTGTATTGATATTTACTTTGAAAGCTGAAGCTCGCGATTATGGTAAGGGGCGTTACATTTCCGACACATGCTTGTGGTGTTCGGCCAATCACAATGCACTGGGTCAGCTGGCCAATCAGAGCAGACTGCGCTTGTCAAAGGAGGGGGCTTTGTTGAAAACAACGTGTTTGAGAGAGGCGGGGCATAGAGGACCTACAATAATGTACAGTATTTGAAAAATAATGTGTTTTTGAACATTAAAGCATGTCAACATATTCTGTTACACCAAATAATGAAAATAATGATCTTTAAAATAGCATCATATGACCCCTTTAA